GCTATTTCGTCGCACGGGCCACGCAGGTATGTCGAGCAACGGGCGCTTACGCATTTTTTTGTGCACGCCCGGCAAAAATCTAATGTAATCTTCGTTTGAAAAATTAAAAAGAAAAGCTAAAGGTGGAAAGTTTTGTTTATTAGATGTGGGTAGATAACCCTGTGCTAAGCTGACATTTACAATAAAGCAAGCTCGCCCTTTCCATCCAATATTTCNCGTTATATTTTCTGAAAGCCAGATAAGAAACTGCAGCAATGTTTGGCACTGGCTTATGCCAGTGGTAAAATGTTAAAGTAGAAGAGTCTACAAAAGAACTTGGCAATCACACTCATTCCACATAAATAAAAGTGACAGCCGTTCATTAAGACTCCCTTATCACACGCAAGCAACCACTCGGCATATTCAGCAGTAATGCAAGAGAAAGTCGCAATAGGGTTTGTGTCAGCGGTCAACCAGTGGAAAACCAAACAGCTCAACAGTGGCTAGGGCCAGATACACTATGCTCGAAGATTTGAGCATTGTTGCTTTTGAACGTGACCAATGAAATCATAGCTTTATGCACAAAATCACCCGGTAAAGACGGATGTTGATCACCCACAGTTTGAATTAAAGAAACGTTACACTCCCTCATAAAGTGAATGTTTTCAGTCAAACTTAAATATTGGGATTCAACAATTCAGAACAACCAGTCTCTAACCTATTCGCATTGGGAGCGTTTATAGTTCAGAGTTTCTTTCCAGAGGTCAGCTTCTAGTCCTCGTTTGGCGGGTGATAAGGTTTCTAAAGAGAGACCGGGAGGCATGGAAGTGGGGATGTAGAATTAGACCACGGTGTTTAATTACTCGCCGTTGATTTTTTTTTTCTCCGCCGACTTTACATTTCTCATTTTCAAACCATTTACTGCTTTACATTTTTCATTTGCAAAAAGTGGAATTCTGCATAAGACTGTTTAAGTCTCTCCCATTACCATCATGGATGTTACAGCAGCAAATAAAGATCTATATTGGTTGATACTCACAGCTCTAGGAGCATTCCATTCGAGTTGAAAACTCCCGTGGGTAAGTTGCTTAACTGATTATTGGACAAGTCCCTATTAACAAGAAATCATTACATCAGATAGTTACATTGGCATTGTTGCATAACTTTACATGACTCATACTGGGGGGAGAGGGCTAACAAACTGCTGATTTAGTTTTAGCCTCGAAATAGATAGATAAGAATGGGCCTTAACGTTAGCAAATCTCACTTAACTTTAACTTCCTTTCCCTTTTGAGACAAATAACATTGGTTCATTAGGTTTGAAGGAAGGTTTCCTCGATAAGTGACAAGTGGGACTCGACACATAATTAGCTAAGATAAAACTGCAGTAAACGGTTTGAACCTTGGGGTAACATGTGAAGGTGTAGTCTGATCGTCCGGGTGAGTGTAGTCCTGAAAAGGACTGTTGTCGGTGGTAGTGACTGACGTTTCGACAACCTGTGCGGAAGTCATCATCAGAGTCAAGTGAATGATTGTTGTTAGTAGAGTGTTCTTATTCCAGCTCGCGTGAAATGATCGGTTGGTTTTACCGTGATGTTATTGGCTGTAAGACTCAAGTGACGTAAGTCGGTCTTGATTGGTCTGTTTTGATCTGTCGGTAAAGTTAGGTCGTTCTTTTTCGGTCGTTTGTGATGTTTATGTTCTGTTACATCAGAAGCAGAATTGCCTCCACTATACAATCAATGTCACTAAATGACAGCAACTTGACTAAAGACGAACAACGCGCACTGAAACGACTGAGAAACGACGAGAACATAGTCATCCTACCAGCCGACAAAGGACGAGTTACTGTTGTTATGGGCAAAACTGATTATCACGACAAAATAGACGCACTAGTTAACGACAAACGAACCTACGAAGAACTCAAACGTGACCCAACTCCTGCACTTCAACGTAAACTCAACAGTAAACTACCTACACTCAAGAAAAGGAACGCCTTTGACACCCAACGGTACTATCGACTGAGGTGCTCAGTACCACAGCCACCGAAACTCTACGGTTTCCCGAAACTACACAAACCTGGTCTCCCGATGCGACCTATTGTTTCTTTCTGTGGCTCTCCCACATACCAACTATCCAAGTACCTGACGACAATACTACAACCGCTAACCGACAAATCCAAACATAAACTACAATCCACTGAAGACTTGATTAACGCTACCAAGACTGTTCAGATACCTGACGACTACAAACTAGTGTCATTTGATGTGAAATCACTGTTCACAAGTATTCCACTTCAATTGGCATTACAATGCACTGAGACTGCAATCCGACAATCTACCCACCCACTACCGCTACCGACAGACGACATTATGGACTTGCTAAACCTTTGCCTAACGTCTACTTACTTTCACTACAACGGTAAACACTACAAACAGTTACACGGCACTGCCATGGGGTCTCCAGTTTCTGTTGTTATAGCAGAAATTGTGATGCAGAACATCGAGGAACGCGCCCTTTC